TGGCCTGGCTCCTGCCTGCCCCCCTGCGCTGCTGTGACTGATAGAGAAGTGTGGTGTGGCAGGGGGTCCCCAGAAGTGGGGCCAGAGCGCACTGGCTGCCGCCCCGCCCCCCCAGGGCCTATAGAATAGTCGACTAACTGCTAAGATTTCATGCGCTTAGTCAACTATTCTGTTAACTGATAGCTAACATCCCTAGCCAGCACGGCTGCAAACAGCCTCCTGCAAGCCTGGTAGGGCAGCTGCCCCATGCACAGGGCTGGGCTGTGTCCCTGGGGCAGATGTGAGAGAGGGGACAGGAGGATCTGACAGTGATGGGAGCCGTAAGAGTAGCTTACGTAGCTATGTAAACTGGGACAAACGCCCCCCCAGATCCATGCTTCAGCCCGGAAGCTGGCTGCTTCCCATGCTGCCTGGGAGGGCCTGGACCAAGCGTTGGTCACTCCGGGCCATGGGGTCCTGGGCTGCAGGGATGGTACCTGCGTGAAACGCTCTAGGGAATTCCCAGCAGCCCACGTGCAGTTTGCCCTTTGGAGAAGCCCCTCAGCAGTTTGCAGGTGCCCCTGGGCCTGGTCCCGCTGCGGGCAGCGCTGAGGCTGCAGGGTACCTGGCTGTAGTGAATGCTGAGGTAAATCTCGTTGTCGAAGTGCAGGGGAGTCTTCCAGGCGACCCGGCGTAACTCCAGCATCACGGAGCCGTCCTCCAGCAGGTAGTCGTGGACGTATTCCTCCTGGCGGATGGGCCTCACCACCTTCCCTGCACACACGGCCCCGTCAGCACCGCCTTGCAGCAACCCCTGGCCGGCCCTTCACCCCCACCCAGCCCCCTGCATCCAGCAGCGCTACCTGCCCGTCCTTCAAGGGGAAGCCAGCTCTGTGCTGTCACACGCAGGGACTGCTCCCTGCTCACAGCTCCGGGGGAAACACGCACAAGGGGAAGTGGAAGAAGCCAGGCTGTGCCCCCTCCTCACAGTGCACCTCAGAGCTGCCTAGGGTGAGCAGGCCTGACTCCCTCTGCCCTGGCCCAGTG